AAAAAAAAAAAAAAAAAAAATGGTGAATTTTCTGGCATGTGAATTATATCTCAATAAAGCTGTTAAAAGCTAGGCACCCCTTCCTCTGGGATTTCAGCTGCAACCACACGTGAAGGTAGGGCTTGACACACAGAGTATAGGCTATATTTCAGCCCTCACTCACCCATTCTGTTCGGAGCCCTGCTTATGAAACAAGAAATTCTCAGACTAACATTGATCATCTCTCAGAGACTAACTTTTTGCTGAAAGACTCCCATCCAACCATTGCTAAAGTAGGAAAGAAATAAAGAGTGTGAAAAGGACAAAAAAACCAACAACCATAGCACATCTATTAAAATTTCAGCAAACATTGTAGAAATAAAAATGATAAATGCTTTATTATTTGAAAGAAAATAAGATCTCCTAATCTTTTTTTTCTGATAATGAATGCCACGTTATTACTGAAAAATGACTCTAACATAAATTTACAAATTTGTAGCATAAAAATGTATTTAACTAGTCGCTCAACTATTTAAAAGATTGCCTCTTTCATTCTATAAAATTACTTCCTTTTCATTAAGTTTTTGTTTCTGACCTATAGTAGATTAAAAAGTAACTGTACTTTTGCTTTCCTTTCTCCCATATTTACTAAGGGGTTATCTATGGCAAGTAATTTAAATTTGACTATTATGGTTGTTCTAGGAAAATGTGGATATAATATTTTAAATATTTAAAGAAAAGATGGTAAAGTTTTAGCTATAGCAAAGGTAAGATTTAAAAGACATTTTTCTTGGATATTAGCCCTTTATTGGTCATGTCATTTGCAAATATTTTCTCACATTCAGTAGGTTGTCTTCTAGTTTTGTCGATGGTTTCCTTTTCTTCTTTTTTTTTTGTGAACCACTATATTGTACACCTGTAGCTTATATAAAATTGTACAGCACCTATACTTCAATGTTTAAAAAAGACATTTTCTTTTTATCAACAATGAAAAAATACTTAACAAAGTCTTTTGAGTAAAGTTTAAATCAACAACTAATTGTGAACTAATCCACAAATTAAAATGTAACAATGTTGCCACAAATGAAGAATTTATACCAAAGCTTAGTCCTAGATGAAATGATCTAACTGGCTGAAATTTGTCTTTGTGCTTCTGCTACGTCTGTATTTGGTCATTTTGGAGTGAACTTCTCAGTCGTTGGAATGTGGATGTCCTTGGATCATGTTAAAATATGTGACCCTAAGCTGGGTATGAGTCTAAAGCACAGAAGAGCAGTGTCAGATGATATCTGTTACGAAACTCACAGCCAGTACCTAGGAAAAGCTACCACTGGCTTTAAAGCCAAATGATCTGATGCTTGGGAAACGAACTCGATTCTAGCAGAAATTTAGCTCACAACTTATAAGGACAATGCAGAAAATATTATCTAGACATGTGTGGGAATAAGACAAGGTTAGTCTAAGCTTTGATTGAGATGGCTTATTGTGAAAAGAGTGGAAATATAGGTTTTTGTTTCCTTAAATCTTTGTAGTGGGCTTTAGGCTTTAATAAAGAATTCTTTTTGTTTCTTGAAGGAAGTTTTAGAAAATAGATGGTTGAATTTTCTGCCTCCATAAATAGGAAGACCAATTGTCCCATGTCCAGGGCATTTACCACCGCTTGGCAACATAGTACCCTAAGTTCAGACTTTTCAAGGAATTAATACTCTTCCTGAAAGTTGAATCTGCAAGTCTAAACATCTCAAAATTTTTTAAATAAAAAAATAGACTAAGTTTAGTGGATGTTAACTAGATGGATATTAACTAGACTTATTGTGGTGATCAGTTCACTATATAGACAAATTTTGAATCATTATATTATACACCTTAAATTAATACAGTTGACCCTTGAACAATGCAGGGGTGAGGGGTGCCAACCCTCCCTACACTTGAAAATCCATGTATAACTTTACAGTCAGCCCTCCATATCCACAGTTCTGCATCTGTGGATTCAATGAGCTGCAGATCATGTAGTACTATAAAAATCTGAAAAAAATCTGCATACAAGTGGACCCACACAGTTCAAACCTGTGTTGTTCAAGGATTATATGTCAATCATATCTCAGTTAAAGAAGAAGACACAGACTAAGTTTAGAAGGACATAAAAGATATATCATCAAATATACTTGGTTTAATTTGTAGGTAACTCGTTTCCATGGGCAAGAAAATCTGCCTACCAGTCTTCTGAGGCACATGGATTTCTATGTTATGCCAGTGGTTAACGTGGATGGTTATGACTACACATGGAAAAAGGTAGGTGAAGGTAAAGAAAACAAAATAGGGGATACAGGATACATAGGCTGAATTATTTATAGAATCCTGGACCCTGGCATAATGGTTTTATTATGAAAAAAATTTTTTAATTCATTATGGAAAAGTTCAAACATATATGAGTGGGAATAATTGTATGGTAAACTCCTATGTACCCATCGCACAGCCAATCAACTCACAGCCAATCTTTTTTTTTTTTTAGCCAATCTTTTTTCATCTATATCCCCAACTCCCTTCTATCTTACCCGTATTATTTTGAAGCAAATCTCAGATACCATATCATCAATAAATATTTCAGTATGCCTCTCTAAAAGAGGTCTTAAAAAAATAATGGTACAATTATACCTAAAAATGAACAATAATTATTTACTAGCATAAGATTTCCAAGCAGTGTTTAAATTTCCAATTGTATCATAACTTTTTAAAAAGTTTATTTCTTTGGTTCAGGATCCAAATAGGCTAATATATTGTGATTGGTTTATAGTTTTTATTTTAATCTGTAGATTCTCTCTCCATCTCTCTTTTTCTCTATTTCCTTGCAATTTTTTCATTGAAGAAAAGAGCTTCCTGTTGTCTGGATTTGCTAATTGCTTTGCCATGTTCCTTTGTCCTCTGTATTTTCTAAAACTTGATATTTGGATTCTAGAAGCTTTATAAGATTCAGGTTTGACGTTTTTGGCAAAACTACTTCATTGTGATAGTGTATTCTCCCAACAGGAGGTGCACAATGTCTGGCTGTATCTCTTTTTGTGATGTTAGCTACCTTGATGTGCAGTACCTACATCCATTCATTCTTACTAGGAATCGTTTGAATGGTATTTTGATTGTAAAATCATGAATTACAAGAATTAGAACAGCATTCTAACCGAACGTGCATTGTAGCAGAATTGCATTCTAACCAATATGCGAATTTAATCCTAGTACCCTCTAACTCAATCATGAACATAAGTATGAATATCATGGTCCGTCTCATCTATACTGGAAACCATTACTATTTCTAATCCATCAACATCATGATTCATGTAAAATTACTCAAGCAATATGAAGTACAGTCCTTTCTAATTTAATGTGAGGCACATAAAAACATAGTTGAACATATATGAAAAACCTACTTGAATAGCACATACAAACACTAAGGGGAATGAGAATGATTGCAATGATTAGATACATAAGGAATTATACAGGAATTATTTTATGTAGAGGGTAATTTAAGCAGAAGAGATAGGAATAGTGAAGGAGATTGATGAAAAAGTCATCTCAGGGAAGACAAATACTGTGAGTAAAAGTTTGTCCGTAGGAGTGAGCAAACCCTGAACTAAGTAAATGAGAAATATCTAGTATAGTACCTAACACAAAATTGGTGTTCAATAAATGGTCACATTTGTAGGTTGCTATTACAATGAATTTATGCCTTCACTGGAATCACAGTGAAATTCAGCCACCCTTTAGATATTCTTACTCCCCAACTGTCCTTTGTATCTTAACTCTGCCAGTTAGTCCCTGAAGTATGAGAACTTGATTTCCTCAGAACAACTGTTGCTACCAGAATCACAGGTCTGGGGTTGGAAGCAGACTGGGAGGCTTGGCAAAAGTGTTGGTGGAATAGGGAAAAGTGTGCCATGTCATCCCAACCCAGAACTTAAACAAAGTCTGTGCAACTGTTTACATGATCAAATTCCCAGATTACCCCAAGAACCCAATGGAGTATTTGCATTACGTTTAAAAACCAGAGTTGAATCAGTACAATCAAAGGAGCCATCAGGCTAGAGGTGTCTGCACAGCTCTGCCTCCTAAAGGTTTTTTTGGTTTTTTTTGCGGTATGCGGGCCTCTCACTGTTGTGGCCTCTCCCGTTGCGGAGCACAGGCTCCGGACGCGCAGGCCCAGTGGCCATGGCTCACGGGCCCAGCCGCTCCGCGGCACGTGGGAGCCTCCCGGACCGGGGCACGAACCCGCGTCCCCTGCATCGGCAGGTGGACTCTCAACCACTGCGCCACCAGGGAAGCCCCTCCTATAGGTTTTAAGTGAGTGTTGAATTCAATCTAAAGAGAGCATTGAAACTCATGACTCAACAATTTTGTATTATAATCATCAAGCTTGCTAAAAGACTTGATCTTAATTATTCCCACCACAAAAAAGAGATGATAATTTATGTGACATGATAGAGGTGCTATCCCCCAAATGGCAATCATATTACAATATGTGAATGTATCAAATCAACATGTTGAACACCTTACATTTGTGCAATGTTATATGTCAAATACATTTCAATTAAAAAATGACTCATAGCTTTAATTTGAGTTGAAACACCAAGTTATTTTACTTTTCACAGAAGGAACTTAAAATGACAATGCATAAAATTAAAGGAAACAAGGCCAAATAAGAAGGCCAGTAAGCAGCCTAGCAAAACCAAATGAAATGGTTTTTTTGTATAGGTCAAAGCTCATGAAATATCACCATTTCAGTTGATTCAAGTTTGAGTGAACCCAGCTGAGACCTGGATAGAACAGGGGCTATGCAAGAAGTACTGTGAAGACAGTGACAGGATAAAGAGATGGAGTTGAAGGACAGAAACACAACACTGTCCACTTAGGCTTTAAAAGTCGTGTCTTTCCTGAACTGCAAACATGGCTGCCCTGGTTACCTGTGTTTTGTTTATTTAGAATCGAATGTGGAGAAAGAACCGTTCTTTTCATGAAAACAATTCTTGCATCGGAACAGACCTGAACAGGAACTTTGCCTCCAAACACTGGTGTGGTAGGTTGTTTGCTTCATTTCTAACAAATGTCTCTTCATTTAAAAGGTGGTATTCCTAAAAGCTCATTAATTCAAACTGATTAGAGGGGAGGCCTATCTGAATCAGAAGATAATTTAGATAAGAAACTTTTTGGTTAAACGTAGTGCTATGAAGTTTGACTCAGATCAGCAAAACACCCTTCCCTGTTCCTCCCTGCCATATCCATACCTTTAAAAGAAGGAAGTTGGATTAGTTCTTTAAGGTCCCTTCTAGCTTCAAAATTCTAAAATTCTATTTCTCTGAAATCATAAGGAAGTGACCACTAAATTTCCTACTTTCATCAACAAATAACATTCATTATGAGGATATCAAAAGCTAGGGTTGGGTGAGTACCTCTTATTTTCAATTGCTTTGGAAAATATTGACTTCTATAGTGCTGCAAAACATTTTGTGGGGTTTTTTTCCCTTTGGCTTGTGGGATCTCAGTTCCCCAACCAGGGATTGAACCCATGCCCCCTGCAGTGGAAGTGTGGAGTCCTAACCAATGGACCATCCTGGAATTCCCAGAACATTTTGTTTTGTATTCACTATTCACTTTCTTAAGTTCTTTCTTTCATGAATATCGTAAAGAGAAACTTGTGTCCAGCACTGTGGGAGCTCCTTGTTCCTTGATTCCAGTGAGTTAAGACACTCAGTGAACACTGATTTAGGCATTTGGGGATATTGTCTGCTCTCAGGGAGGTAGGTGTTAGTTCACCACCCCCTCACTATGTTTCATAGTTACTACATTTAAGAAACGACTACAAAGCAACACTAAACTTAACGACTGAGCTGGAATCACCCATATTTTTGGAGGTGGGAGCATGTGACAACAAGGGAGCACAGCTATTGAAACCATAGAAACATCTTCTTCCTCCCATTCCTTTACTCTACACAGCCCTAGGTACATGATCTTCTGTGTTTCCTTTTAAAAAAAGAAGTGAAAATTCATGATTTTGAACATTTCATCATTATCCCAAAGTAGATATGAAAACTTTTCGGTCGAGTACTTACCTTTTCTCTTCATTTCCTCCTTCCTGTAAGTCAGAAACCCCATGAGGGCAGTGACCACTATCCATTACCTAGTGCAGTACCTGACACACTGAGGGGTCTCTGAAAGCTATTCAAATGAACATGTGCATGAAATTAGTTGTTTTAAGAGAGCTACAGATAAAGTAAGTAAACAGAGGAAAGAACAGTTGATCCTGCCTCAGGCTAAAGGGAATCATTTAGTGGTTTCTTCGCAAGAGGCCGTCGTTAAGATTATTCAGTAAAAGTGCCCACTGAGCATTCTTTCATGTGTTTGTTGGCAATCTGTATATCTTCTTTGGAGATCATTAATCATTAGAGAAATGCAAATCAAAACTACAATGAGATATCATCTCACACCGGTCAGAATGGCCATCATCAAAAAAATCTAGAAACAATAAATGCTGGAGAGGGTGTGGAGAGAAGGGAACACTCCTGCACTGTTGGTGGGAATGGAAATTGATACAGCCACTATGGAGAACAATATGGAGGTTCCTTAAAAAACTAAAGATAGAACTACCATACGACCCAGCAATCCCACTACTGGGCATATACCCTGAGAAAACCATAATTCAAAAAGAGTCATGTACCAAAATGTTTATTGCAGCTCTATTTACAATAGCCAGGACATGGAAGCAACCTAAGTGTCCATCATCGGATGAATGGATAAAGAAGACGTGGCACATATATACAATGGAATATTACTCAGCCATAAAAGGAAACGAAATTGAGTTATTTGTAGTGAGGTGGATGGACCTAGAGTCTGTCATACAGAGGGAAGTAAGTCAGAAAGAGAAAGACAAATACAGTATGCTAACACATATATACGGAATCTAAGAAAAAAAAAAAAGGTCATGAAGAACCTAGGGATAAGACGGGAATAAAGACACAGACCTACTAGAGAATGGACTTGAGGATATGAGGAGGGGGAAGGGTAAGCTGTGACAAAGTGAGAGAGAGGCATGGACATATATACACTACCAAACGTAAGGTAGATAGCTAGTGGGAAGCAGCCGCATAGCACAGGGAGATCAGCTCGGTGCCTTGTGACCACCTAGAGGGGTGGGATAGGGAGGGTGGGAGGGAGGGAGATGCAAGAGGGAAGAGATATGGGAACATACGTGTATGTATAACTGATTCACTTTGTTATAAAGCAGAACCTAACACACCATTGTAAAGCAATTATACTCCAATAAAGATGTTAAAAAAAAAGTGCCCACTGAGGTGTAAAGACTGCCACAGCAGTGATAATTGGGCAGGGAGCCAGAGAAACAGCAACTAATATAAAAGACCTCTGAATAAATAGAGCTGACAGTTGCTAAGTGCTGAGCAGTTTATATATTCCATCCCGTGAGTTTCATTGTCTACACATCATGGATGAAGAAACCCAGACTTTAAAAGGTTAAGTCCCTTGCTCAAGAGCACAGAGCTAGGAAGTGGCAGAGCTGGGATATAAAGCCAGGCCGACTAACTCCAAGTTTGTTGAAATTCGTCTAAGTCTGACAATCACTCTTCAGTTATAAGTTCCCTTTTGGAACTTCTTTCATCCGCAAGCTCTTTTGCTGCTCTATTTTACTTAATGTTTTTCGTGGTAAAACTAGCATTACCTGGGCTTCCTTAGTGGCGCAGTGGTTGAGAGTCCGCCTGCCGATGCAGGGGACACAGGCTCGTGCCCCGGTCCGGGAGGATCCCACATGCCGTGGAGCAGCTGGGCCCGTGAGCCATGGCCGCTGAGCCTGCGCGTCCAGAGCCTGTGCTCCGCAACGGGAGAGGCCACGACAGTGAGAGGCCCGCGTACCGCCAAAAAAAAAAAAAGAGAAAGGCAGGCTCTGTAAGGATAATAAGGATCATGGAGTAGCCCATGGAACCCAAGGACTAGGATGCAGGCAGACTTCGGAAACAGACTAGAACTGGGCCTGAGGCACTATAGGGAGCTCAATGGCTCCTTTCTTTCCCCACCTCATCTCTGCAATGCACACTGGCCTTCTCTGTGTCCCAATCCATGTGACGATAATGATGATGATAATGCTGATAAACAAGTTATTAAACACTCAGTATATGCCAGCACTGGGAAAAGCATTTTATAATTTATCCATTTAGTAGATAAGGAAATTGAGGTATAGATAGGTTTAAAAAAAATCAAGATTGACTTGCCTCCTAGGGCATGCCCAATAATTCTACTCTTTCTCAACCACTCTAGAAGATTGATTGAAATGCAAGTGAGTGATAAACAGCTTAAACGCCAAAATAGAAGACTAGAACTTTTAAAAATTACTGTTGAGTCTTAACAATTAGCAGTGCCTTACTGGCACTTTAAAAAAATAAAATAAAACAGAAATATATTTGAAAGGAAAACTTCCAACATGTTAAGAGTTGACAGTGCCAGATGCCCCTCTTGTGCCACAAGTGTTTTGTAAAATGTAAAATTCCCATTGAGTGAAAAGAATTTGTCTTGCTTGGTTGCTTTGGGAAGCCAGAGAGCATATGGGTATTCAGATTTCCTGCTGGGCCACAAAAGTTCTGTTGATATTACATAGAATGGGGATTCCAAACAGTCCTTATAATGGAAGTCTAAAAGTAGTGTCCAATTTAAGGCCTCATCTTTCATTACCGTTATTTATTCCTATAAAGGACTAATTTAGATTACATCAACTTTTGACTTATTGGTTAAAAAAAGTTACCCAAGCCATATAGCTATTAAATGGCAAAGACAAGATTGAAATCAAGTGATGGGGTAATTAACAATATGATACATAGCCTCTTATTGTAAAGAATGGTTATCACCAATGGTGCCCAATTTGAGTCTCCTAAAATAAGAGCGTTGACTTCACAGGTTTGCCATAAAGATTAAATGAGATACCGCCTGTAAGTCTTAGCAGAGTTCCTGACAGATAGCTTGTGTTCTTTGGATGTCAGCTGGTGATGTTATTGCTGTTATCTTCTTTTTTTTCAAGAGAGTAGCTTGACTGAAACTAGAATCTGCATCTTGATTTCAAGTTATCAGTGGAGGGATTCCGAATGGCAAAAGACAAGTGAGGGACCCAAATTGGGGCTAATAAACGGTTTCCAGGAGGGAAGAATCTTTCTGGGTCAGAGGTGGCTCCCTGGGGCTCTACCGCTGTGAATTACGTACAGAGGAGAGAAGTGATGGGAGTCAGGCTACCATCCGAAGTGACGTTTCGTATAATTTCTCAAAGGAATGAACACATATCAGTCTAGCACCAAATATCGCCATTCCGTTTTACTTACTAAACCACTTCAGCAAGTTAGAAGTAGCACTGAAGGCAGACTTACATATTCTGAGTTCTCAAATGAGACTTTTATGGGCTGGATTAATTAGTGATTTTTAAGCTACACATGTCAGAAAAACCAGACTTACAATGATGAAAGAAAATGGGGTTTATTTTTCTCTTGTAACCACAAGTTTGGAGGCAGAGCTGCCATTTCTGAGACTCTCTTAGCCACTTTCTCGGGGCTGCAAGATGGCTGCCCTTAGGCAGCAACTGTTGGATGGCTGCTATGAGGGCATGTAAATATTTGGATTCAAAATAAACATAAACAACATTTAGGGGACATTAGAAATATGTTCTTTACAGAGCTCGAGTGAATCCATTTATCTAAAAATGTTACACCCTATATATGAGGAGAATACATGGTCGGGGAGATCACAAATTACAATAGGTTGCGTATCTACTTATGGTTCCACTCCATCAATTTCACTACAGAGGAAGGTGCCTCGAGTTTCTCGTGCTCGGAAACCTACTGTGGACTTTACCCTGAGTCGGAACCAGAAGTGAAGGCAGTGGCTGATTTCCTGAGAAGAAATATCAACCACATTAAAGCTTATGTCAGCATGCATTCATACTCCCAGAAGATAGTGTTTCCGTATTCCTATAGCAGAAGCAAAAGCAAAGACCACGAGGAACTAGTAAGTGCCGCTTAATTAATTTTCTCATTAGCATTTCAGAAGTAAAATAATACATACTTCAGGAATCAAAAACTGTGGGGAAAAATGTTCTGTAGAGGACAAAGTGGGATAGATGCTTTATATCTTGATCTAACATTTCTGAGAGTCACCCTAGGTCAGGGTTCATTGAGAGATTGTAAAGGACTGAGCCTTATTTTGAGGACATGAACTTCCGTCTAGCAGAGGGGCTCTCTAGGAAAATGTCAGACTAGCTCTTGGAACCTCAGGAGGGAACCAGTCTACCTTGACCTAATCTACATATGAAGCCATATGAACAAGGACAAGGACAAGGCTTTCTGGAATTATTGGTCTGTTTGTAGGTGCTAGCTTTCTACAACAGCCCGCCACAGATCAAGTCTTAGCACAATACTTATCGATTTGATACTAGCATTGGGAATTGTTTATACACTGACCTTCCTAACTTGCAGGGGTTTGGTCCTATTAAAAGCAACTCCAATTTCAGCATTGAGGCAAGACCTCCCTCCTTTTGTGGAATGCAGTGGATGATACAGTGAGTTCAAAGAGGACTCACAGTTGGCTACCCCCTCATCACTTTTTGGTCCCAGATATTCTATGCTTGGGTTAATGGCAAAGGATGCAAGGGTTCTTGATGGATTGTGGCTAGGTTTGGACAAATCCTCATCCCAGATGCTCTCTAGACAATGGAAGTGCTATGGCAACAGTCCACTTCTTGCCCAAGGTCTGATCTTTATGTACTGGTTTGTTTCTTATTGACTTGTTTTGGTCTGGTTCTCTTAACAGAATAAACTATAGCCACATTAGGGGCTAGCAATTCCTGATGACAAATATAAAGTTATTTGCAGTTGCTAAGAATAACTCATTTAGAACAGAAACATCCTTGATACTTATGATTCCTTTTTCCTCTCAAGGGAAAACTTTTAAGGAAAGTTCCTTTATTGGTTGTTATCTTTGAAGAAGTGAGAGGATATTCATCATGATCTGGAAATAGACTTAGTGTGATTTTGAATTATTTTTGGATTACTGTCATCACAAGTGTTTGTTGAGAGTTATTATGTGTAAAATACTGTGTTGATGGACATTGAAAGAAGCATCAAGTAGGACCCTGCCCTTTAAGAGAATATGAAATGGTTAGGGAGCTCAGCCATTAGCAATTGTTACAGATAGCTGTACTGTAAGGTATAGTAACTACTAAGTAAGTGACACAGATGGTACAACTCACTTCTGACTGGGATAACTAGGAGTGGCCTCATTAATTCATTCAGAAGGAAACAGATAAGTGAGGGGATAAAGTCCCTGTCCCGAGGGCTTATAATCTATTAAGGTGTGACATACTGTAAAGAAAAAGGAATGATAAAGCGCCAGTGAAGTGAAGGAACAGGCACAATTCCAGCCAGATACTGAAAGATAGGATTTCTGTAAGTGGACCCGGAGGGGAAGACTTTCTAAGCTGAGGCCAAGGTTCTCCCCACAGGAAGTATGTTCAGGGGAATGTAGGGTCAAAAAAAGGAAGTTGATCCCTCAGAAAGTAGATGAGGTCAGCCTGTGAAGGAGAGGTCACCTAGTCTGAATGTCAGAATCAATTTACATTTTATTCCGTAGATCGGGGGGGGGGGGGTTCCGTTAAAACTTTTGAGCAGAGGAATGGCACAACATCATATCCACTGATATTCCTCAGGTCCTTCAAGGGAGGGACAGTGAATACCATGATGTTAGTGCCAATTTCAGAAAAGATCTGCATAAGCTAGAAGCAAAAATAGTGGAACAGGGGACTTTGTTACTATCCTGCAGCACACCAGGGATATAAACTTTTTTATTTGATGAGTCTTTGGGAGGTATTAGACATTTTACACGAAAAGGAAATAGAGTTTGTGAGAAGAATGAGGAGGGAATCATACATTGCTGACATACGTGTATTGTTTAGAGAAGCTGGGTTTAAAGTTTGGTGACAATTTTGTCTAGTTGTTTGCCTTTGAAATATAGTTAGACTTTGTTTTACAGTATAATTTTGTTACATATACTTTGTTTTACAAAATAAATGAATTCCTAAAAAAGGCTTATGAGAATTATTTTTTCTTCAACGTAAATAAAATTTCAATATATTGGAAGAGTCTGTGTCTAAAGCCACCCAACTGTGATTTCCGTAAAGAGAAAAACATTTTTAAAAGTTAATTTATTCTTCTCAATTTATCTCTTGGATAAATGCAGATTTTTTCATATATACAATTCTCCCCACACCCCGGCTCTATTGAGATATAATTAATTGACTTGTATGTAAATTGTGTAAGTACAAGGTGTACAATGTGACGATTTGATACACATATATATTGTGAAATGATTACCACAATAAAGTTAATTAACACGTTCGTCACCTCACATAATTAGTTTGTTCCTTTGTGCTGAGAATACTTAAAATCTACTCCCTTAGCAACTTTCAAGTATATAATACAGTATTGTTAACTATATTCACCAGGCTGTATTTTAGATTCTCAGAACTTACTCGTCTTATAACTGGAAGTTTGTATCCTTTGACCAGCATCTCCACATTCTCCTCCCTCCACCACCCCCAGCCCCTGGCAACAACCATTCTGCTATTTCTTCATATATACAGTTTGATTGAATAAATATATGATTGGGTTTTTGTGTTTTTTTTAAGAAACTTCTACCTGTCTTGTTTTAAAGCTGTACATTAACTGAAATTCCATATCTTATTGATTTCAGTCTCTAGTGGCCAGTGAAGCAGTCCATGCTATTGAGAATACTAATAAAAATACCAGATATACACATGGCAGTGGTTCAGAAAGTTTATGTAAGTATTTCTTCTTAAGATCTTAGGGGACTGTGAGGTACTAAAGAAATTTGTGTTTGGTTTTTCTGTGTGGATTTAATTTTTCTAAGTGGAATCTTTAAACATGGTCCCATGTAAAACAATTGGATTATAACAGTTAGAATTGCAAGCATGATAGCTATGACAGTACTGAACAAGGCTATATTAATACATAAATATACTAAAAAGAAACCAAAATGATACTTAAGAAATTATGCTCAGTGCTATAGAGTAGGGATTATAGAATTGGTATCACACTAGTTGAGTGAAACAGAAAAAGTCATAAAGGGTCAAAAGAATGTTTAAGATGCCCAGGGCCACCATGTAAGGTTGTGCAGGTTGAACACTGTACAAATCTAGGAATACCATTTACATTAGATGCTTTTTTAGTGGCAACCTGTGTCCAAGAGTATAGCTCATGGCACACTACAGTTGAATGTCCTTTGTTTGTATCACACTGATGGAACATGTGTGTGGCAAGCTCTTAACAAATATTTTAAATTAATTTCTGCTGGGAGATATTTGTTGAGGGACTCCTTTGTATCCACAGTGGAATAACAGACAATTTTGCTCTTTTTTAAACTGGAAGGGGAGATAGGAGAAGAGAAACAGAAAATAAGCATGTAACAAGGTGTCAGCAAACTATAACCCACAGGCCAAATCCAGCCCACTGCTTGTTTTTGGATAGCCTGTAAGCTAAGAATGGTTTTTCCATTTCTTAAGTGGTTGAAGAAAACCAAAAGAAGAATAAGATTTTGTGACAAGCGAAAATTACGTAAAATTCAAATTTCAGTGTCCACAAATAAAGCTTTATTCAAACACAGCCACACTCATTCATTTGCATATTGTCTATACAGCTTTCAGGACAGTGGAGTTGAGTAGCTCTGACATAGACTATGTGGCCCTCAAAGCCTAAAATATTAATTATCTGGTCCTTCACAGAAAAAGTTCGCCAATCTCCGATGTAAACAATTAAATAGTAAAACATAGGGTAATCCCATTGATAAGTGAACAGCATAATATTAGCGTATAGGTTTGAAAATGACCTGAGAGAGAGGCAGCTTAGCTCAGGTGGCCTGGAAAGGTCTTCCTCGGTAGGTGACATGTCTGGGAGACCTACCCAGTAAGTGGCTGCCAAACAAAGGTGTGGGAAAAAACCAGGGAGAGGAAATGGCATGTGAAAAGGCTTTGAGATAATATGTGCCAAGTCCCAGAGTTTCCTTTAACAGGTATGATTTATAGGGGGATAAAAACACATTCATATTAATAATCACATCCATATTATTTTCAGTAAATTACTTGAGCACCAAAGGTCTATTAGTAGAAAGTCCAGAATCTTCCTTTTCCTCCTCAATCATCCCAAATTATCTCAGGACAAACTGAGGCCAGATTGGTCCACGTGGTGTCTCTGGCTCTTGCTGTCACTGGTCTATCTCTGCCTTTGCCGACCCAGGTCCTTGCTCTGGGTCACAACTTCCTTTCATAATTCAGAGCTTTCTTGATTCCCATCCTCTCTCTCCTGTTGTTCCCCAAAGCATGACCATAGTGCCTCAGGGCTGGAGGCACTTCTAGAGCAACTTCTTGTTTTGACGAAATCATTCCATCTCCAGGCATGCATTCATTCAATACAAATCTCTGTGTGTGTGTGTGTGTGTGTGTGTGTGCGCGCGCGCGCGCGCGCGTGCGCACGTGTACATAAGTATAAAAAAAATTCTGGAAGAATAAATGCCAAATATTAATAATAGCTATCAGAAATATTTGCTGAATGAATAACAACTAATCCACTGTTGATGGATATATTTCAATACTTCAGTATAAACAGTGCTTCAGTAAACACCTTTGTCATTAATTCAAGTATAGGTATTGGAAGGAGGAAAAATGATCACTTTGCATATTATATGAGTGCCTACCTGGAAAACACAAAAATAGAGTAACAAAGAGTTGAGTAAGGTGGCTGACTATGAACTAAATATAAACGAATCTATAACTTACTTATATACCAAAAACAATCAGGAAGAAAGTAAAATGGAAAAAAGATCCTACTGCCCCCCCAATATACATGTATACACATGCAGACGTGTACATATAGATACATACATACATGTATAGATTCATTGTTAAATGTATATACGTGCGCACACAAATCCATATGATCTCTATGAAAAACCTAGAAAACTTTACTGGTGTACATAAATGAAGACAAATAAAAGGAGAACCCCACTATGGTTTTGAGTGGAAAAGCAATACAAAAAAAAGTGCTAGTCATTCTAAATTAGTTTGTATATTTAATGCAGTCCCAATGAACACTTAATGACTTTGAACTTCATTTGAAAGAATACATTTGGTAGAAGAGCTTGTAAAATTCTGAAAAATAAGATTAATAAAAGAAAATTTGCTCCAACCAAGTATTAAAACACATTATAAACCTGTCATAGTTGCAGGGGTTTTTTGTTTTAATTATACTAATTGTAAAGACACAAAGAAGCAATTATGGATAAACAAGAAGGTTCAATGTAAAGGAACTGAGCCTGGAAGTGACATCATTAGAAGGGAATACTGAGTACAGAAAGACACTCAGATATATAAGATCTAGTATCTCATAAAGAAGGCATTTCAAACAGTGAAGAATGTTAGACATTGTTCAATTAATAGGGTTGGAAAAACTGGTGAGTTATTTAGAAAAAAATTGTACTTAGATTACTAACATGTCTTTCTCCAAAATAAATTCCGGATACATAAAATATTTTAACATAAAAACACTGCCATAAACCAAGTTGAAGGCTAAATGACCAAATAAGAAAAAAAAATTCTCCACATATTACACAGGGCTAATAACACTAATGCTGCTTTTATAAGTAATCTATAAAATGAATCAAGAAGAAAAATGAGCAAAGACAATTGATAAAAATATAAAGATGGTCAATAAATATACCAAAAAAATGTTCAACTCACTGATAATCAAACATAAAGAAAATTTGATATTATTTTTCATCCACAAAATTGCCAGAAATGTATAATTCACATGGATGGTATGGGAATGGAGCATGGGCATATTCATACCCTGCTAATGGAGGTATAAATTAGTTCAATTCTTTTGAAGGCTATTTGGCAACGTGCAGCACAACAGCACAACGTGCAGCTCTCCAAATAAATATTAAAATTAATTACATCCAGCTTTACAGAGCAATGCTATGAGATCATTAAAAATGATAAGGTAGGGCTTCCCTGGTGGTGCAGTGGTCAAGAATCCACCTGCCAATGCAGGGGTTATGGGTTCGAGCCCTGGTGCGGGAAGATCCCACATGCCACGGAACAGCTAAGCCTGTACACCACAACTACTGAGACCATGTGCCACAACTACTGAAGCCCGCGTGCCTAGAGCCCATGCTCCGCAACAAGAGAAGCCAACGCAGTGAGAAGCCCGCACACCGCAACTAGAGAAAGCCCGCGCGCAGCAAGGAAGACCCAATGCAGCCAAAAATTAAAGAAAAAAAATGATAAGGTAGATTTGAACTCATTAATACATAAAGCTGGCCAGGATAGATTATGTTTAGGAATGTTCCTGAATAGCTTGTATAGAATGATCTTATTTATGTAGGAAAAATATTATGTTAAAGTATGCACTGAAAAAGAAAGCACTAGAATATAAATGGTGACCATCACTCCTTGGTAGGGTTATATGGGTAATTTTTATTTTCTTCCTTAACCTGCTTTCCTTCAATCTCTATTTTCTTCCACAAACTTAGATTATTTAATATTCAGAAAAAAGCAAAACTATTTTCATTTTTAGGGAAAAAAATCCCATCTTGTTAGTTAACTTGAAACATCTGTATTTCAAAAAGTAACTTCTTTTTTCTTTTTGTAGATCTAGCTCCTGGAGGTTCGGATGACTGGATCCATGACTTGGGCATCAAATATTCGTTTACAATTGAACTTCGAGATACAGGCAGATACGGATTCTTGCTGCCAGAGAGTTACATCAAACCCACTTGTACAGAAGCTTTCGCTGCTGTCTCTAAAATAGCTTGGCATGTCATCAGGAATGTTTAATGCCCTTGATTTTTTCACTCTGTTCCCATATTTTAATTTACTGATTCCAGCCAAACCAAATCTTTGTACCAGTTTCTTTTTAAGTTTTATCAGTTTTCATAAAAGGTTTTCCCATTCCTTGGTTTTGTCAAAGAACAAAATAAATGCTACCTTAAAATTAAGGCAGACAAGGGTTCACATTTCTTTTTCCTTTTTTTTTTTTTTTTTTGAGAGGCTAGGTACTGATTTTTTTCTTTGATTCGCGACATTTGACTAGACATCTCAAGCAATTGTAATACCTACTTTCATGCAGAGCATTGCATCCTGAACAAAAAAAGGAAAGGCTGTCACAAGTACATTAAAGATTTCTGCTCCAAATTTACATTAAGTTTCTGCTAACGCCTTTAAAAACACACCCGTGCATTCCGTTTGCTCCACTGTAATAGACGATGGCCGAGAAAGCAGAGGAGTGTGAAAAACAGGACAAATACCGCCTGTCACTCCAGTTCAGCTGCTCAATAAAAACGTTGAGCGAATGAATGCAGTTATCTTCGACAACAAACGTGGCATTTTTGCATATTCACAACAGCTGTCTAGTGTAAGAAATTATGTAATAAAAGTAGAAAACGCTTTCTCTTAAATCCACTGTTAATTGGGAATTTTATCTCTCCCGGGTTCCCGGTTTCTTTTCCGGGGCTAGCTCGTTAGGCACAGGTTTTTTGATTTCGACAGCACGCCTAGGAAGCGACGTTACGCCCAGGGGGCGCGTCCACAAAGGGGCGGTGCATACGCGCTGACGACTAATCTGGCAGCCGGAAGCTGCCTCGGTCTACAGAGGAACAGGGCGAGCTCTTGACTTCCGGCGGCATTTTGAGGCGATCCTCTTAGCGGCCTGATAGTGTTTTCCTTGTCTTTTCTTACTCTCCAGTCTCTCTTCGTTCCTTTTTTTCCTACGTCCCAGGCTCGCTTGACCCTGGCGAAGCGGCAGGTGGGTTCCGCTCCCCAGCCATCCCGGAGTCCCTCGGTAGCCGAGGACAGGTTCCCGGGAGCCGCGCGCACCTCCTTCTCGCTGTCGTCTTCCCGGGGCCAGGCGCGGGGACAGAGAGTCGCCTCCCCCGCTCCTTGGAGCGGCGGCGGCGGCGCCACCTCCGGACTGCGCTTGCGAAAGGAGCTCAGCGAGGAGGTAAGTTTGAACTCCGTGAATTGGCGTGGGTACCGGGGGAAAGGCGTTGGGTGGGCCCGGGATGGGGAGGCCCCGCTTGTCCTCCATCCCTGCTTGGGTCACGCCGGAATTTTGAGCTCTCCTTGAGCATTCCACCCTTAACTCTGCAATAGATCCCTGTGCTCCTGACTGGTTTCTCGCCCTGGTTCTGATTCTGGCGAGTTTGCCTAAGGGGGCAAGTGGATTCAGACTGGAGGCTTTGCTGGGTCACTACCATTTGATGTGAGCCTGGGAACTCTTGCGCGGTATTCGCGTTGGTATGAGATGGAAGGGTGCCGGAGTATGGTCTTAGATTGAGAAGCTCCCTCTTTACACATTCCAGACCCGTTAGGGAAAGGTATCTTACTTTTGGTTATAGTTGGTCTTGGTTATTTCCCGGCAGTGATTACGACGCAGGTGCTCGGAGTTGAGGAGTGCTACTTTTATCTTCACAGTCCCTAGGTAGTTACTTTTGGCAACTATCTGTCAGAAACCCGGAAAGGTGAATGAAAGGAGAGGCTCTGATGTTTGGCATTGTCTCTTTCTAAATAGCTTAAAATAATTTATGTGGCTGGAAAATTATTCAGAGTCGATATCACGTGAATGATATCGGTAGGATCTTGTTTGTGGAGCGTAGTGTCGAGCCATTCGGTTATATCCCGAGGTTTTCAGATAATTTGAGCTACTTTGAAAATTATGGGCGTACGCAACCTCTTCAGGTTTTTGATTGTTTTGAAGAAATAATTTAAAAGTTTGGAAAAATCTTCACACCTCAAGTTTTCAAAGTTTTGCCAAAAATACTGTTGCAGTAGATCTAAATGCTTATGCAGTACAATCCATGCGTATGTATGTGGTGCCGGTTATCGGAGTCTGGTTCTGCAGTGTTTGAAATTACTGACTTTAGAACCTAAGCGACAATGTTTTGGACAGTTTTGTGGACATATCTCTAGATTTTCGAATAATTTAGAATTTAATGAAATATTTCGATTATAACATGACAGTTTCACAAAGAGACTAAGAATGTAGGTGCAGGTATGTAGCAATTTGTGTCTAAAAATAGTTGTATTGTGAAACTAAGACTTTTACTGTGGGAATCTGGGAGGATCTAGTTTTTTCAGGTGCATGCCTCTTACGCGCTTCCTAACTATCTGGTGATTCGAAATGAACATTGATTGCGTATGTTAAGATATGCAAATTTATCTAATTTTCATATTTATAAATTAAAACTAAAATCCCACAGGTGGATGCTATTTTACTTTCTGTACAAGTTATCAAACATTTAATAAGTTATCGGTGTTAACTTGTATTGTAATATGCACTGACATTTACATATAGAAAGCAGTTGTTTAACATTTATTTATAGAATTGGTTTTCAGTAAATTTTAGTCTTTCCTACCTCCCCCAAACCCCACTCTGCTTCTCATATAGAGTTGAGCTGGAGCTTTTTCAGCAGATACTTAGCAGCAGTTGAAATGTTAACCGGTGTTGGCATATATAAAGTGTCTTCTATTCTCTTTTTGGTCGTTTTGTATGTTGCAGTTCTGTTTACTTCACTTTATAGTAGTTGCCAGCATGGGATATTCTCCCTGCATAGTCTTTTTAACAAAATGTATTTTCTGCACAATGCTACAATATTGCCTTCCTCACACCTGTGTAGTCAGTTTAGTGCTGACGATTCTGTTTTGAATTCAGTTTGAAATTGTTTTAGTCTATCTACATATAAGCAATTGGCAAGATTGTTCAAGAAAGTTCTTTTTTTCTTAAAATATGTTAAGAAAAAATTCTCTCACACTATGCAACAAATAAACGTAACTGTTTTTCTTTCAAAACTAAGAAATATAAATATGAAGAGGTCTTATTTTTAATATAACACTTTTAATTTTAGGATGCCAGTGGATAGAGATTTATTCTCCTACCAGTTAGCACCAGTAATTATGTAGCTTTAATTGCTTAGTTATTTCACAGTTTCCTAATATTATGGTGCTACTTATCCAGACTAAAGTGTTTTATGCTTTCATTTATGCTACCGGAAGATGAGAACTCAAAAAGATGTAATTGTGGATTGCAGTGAGAATACTAGAACTAATAAGTTTTATTGACAAGATTTTAGTAATCAGGATTCAGAAATAATTTAAAAAGAGGCCCCTGTGTTTCTCCCCTCTCAGTCATATTTATAGCATGAAGCTATGAGTACATTGTGATATTTGTAAGTTTCCGGGGGAAGGAGGACATTTCCCATTTATTAAGGCTTTTTGTTGTGTCTTAATAGATTTAAACTTTGTGTCCCATGTTTTTCATTTTCTTTATGCCACGCGGCTTGTGGGATCTTAGTTCCTCTGACCAGGGATCGAACCTGGGCCCTTGGCAGTGAGAGCTCAGAGTCCTAACCGCTGAACCGCCAGGGAATTCCCTTCATTTTCTTTTTCAGTTGAAAAAATATTAAAACTTCTGATATTTATTTACTCTACAAATGGAGAGGAGAAATAGGAGAATAACTCAACAGACTTTTACCACTGTCACTCTGGCTTTGCTAATAATGCTCATGTTTGGGAAAGGCATGATAATGTGAGTGGGAGTGTGATGGTTACTTAAAACTAAAGAATAAATTGAAAACTGAGGGAAAGCCTTCAAAGTCTCTGAGATAGGGAAGACTTTAATATTTACATTTTTTCTTATTGTTTCTAATTTTTCTCTTATATTTTGAAGCATTTACTTCTTATTGAAGCCTGTTCAGATATTAATTGAAAAACTTTTCCTCCTCTCATTCAAATCTACATTTTATTCTTTTGTGGTTTATCTTTCTCTTTGGGCCCAAATTTTTAGAGTGAAAATTCTAATCATCATGTTAGATGGTAACATAGTTTTAAGTTAGTATATATGAGCAAATGTTTTCCTCGTGTATTGTAGGTTATGTGTATATATTTAGAAAAATGGGATTTAAAATATTATATTTTGTATTTGCAGGCATAAGGCATTTTATCTGTGCAAAAATCATAAATGTTTCATAATAATATTTAGATAATTTGTTGACTACTGATAGAAGTTCCTAGATAGATGATCAGAAAAATTTCTGTTTCTGTCAATTAGAAAAGTTCAGTTTCTACTTTTTCTTTTATTGCCTCAGGGTTTTTTTTCTTTCTTCTTTTTTCCTGTCTAGGACCTCCCTGTAACCTAGACCTGGTCCTCAAACTCAGTGTCATTTTAGGCCAAGGTCTGACACTGTTGGACTCTCTAAGAAAAGAGAATACGTCTTTACTTCATTGCTGTTCTTCCCTAAGTTGGAAGACTCAACAGTAGCAGAAGTAAAACTCCTGGGATAATCACTATGTAGGTGAATCTTGTAGTTCTTGATGTCACCTGTAAAAGCTACTTTGTCTCTGTTGGAAGGAACTTTTTTAGTGTCAAGAATACAAGTAAAGGGATAAGATTGGATCATTAGTCCTCACTTGATTGTCTGTCGCAGTCCAAACCCTTGGAAGCCTTCAAAGCTTATGTTAGGGATCTAGGATGGGAGAGAAGCTGTGAGACCCTGCTTTCCAGCGGTAGGTCAGAGGAGGAGAGGAGTGCTGATTCAAACAACAGATTATAGGCGGGGAAGAGAAACAGTAGAGTTAATAATACCTGGAGCCCTCAGAAAGACAAGAAAAGAGATATGACCAGTGTTTCAAGTATAATAATAAATAGCTTGTTGCCCCAGTTGTGCAAAACACTACTGTTGACTTTTTTTGGAGGAGGGAGGGTGTGTTTGGAGTTATGGGCATGTTGGGGATAGAGATTTTGGGGGCAGACCATTTCCACTGATAGTGGAAGGAAAAATGTAAGCTTAGGGTTACTTGTCTTGATGCAGTGTGGTGGGATGGTGTGCCTGTTTCCCAAGTTGTAGATAACTAATAATAACTAATAAGAAACTTTTCGAACACATTCATTTTTAAGTTTATTAATAAATGTTTTTAAAATTGAATTAATGAATGAGGATTTCAATGTACACCTGTATGTTTTTATA